TGCTTAACTTCATATATTCGCCAGCTGCATGCCCCGAATTGTAACTTGTTTATTTATCTTTGGGCTTCTTCCCTTTGAGTGTTAGCATTTGGCACACATCCAGTAATATTGATAAAAGAATAACCGTATCCGCTCCTTTCTCCGATTCCTTCATTTTCCCAAATCTTTCCGAGAAAATAATTGTTCAATGTGGGATAGGCATCTGTCAGTATAATAATGAACCAACCAGCAAGTTGAATTGTGATGATTGTCTGATTGTGCCATTTCTCATGTTCTTGATAACCAATAGAATTGATATATTACGATCATTGACAGTTGACACGAATAAATTACCGTGTATTAGCATTTATCTTTGATTTATTTTTGCAGTGGTACTGTATTTTTTTTTGGTAGTAGTATCATTTTGGGTATGCCTACTATGACATGCATGTCACGGTGACATGCACTTTTCGGTCGACCTATTGCTGAAGGCGGTCGACCGAATCGACTAATTTGGGCAGCACGAGAAAGCATTGCGGTCGACCTCAACGACCACCTGGTCGACCGCACTTAGTTTAAGTTGTTATTTTTGGTCGACCAGAATAAAACCTGGGTCGGCCATTTCGTTGGCGTCAGAAACAACATGGTCGACCACCTAAGGTATATAGGTCGACCACTTGATTGCAGTCATTAACAAAATGGTCGACCGGATGATGAAAGAGGTCGACCAGATAGAAGATAAGTGTTCTATCAAAGTGTCCAATTATTTGACATAAAATCAAGATCAAGTGTTGGTTTCGCGGTCGACCTATCCGTTACGAGGTCGACCGAATACAAGAAAGTCACCCTATGCCCCGTGTCTTTTTTGCTTATGTATGTCGATTTGTGTGGTTCTTTTAATCGTATAAATTATGTTTCAAACCATCATAATTAGTCATAAATAATTATAACAAGGACTCATCAATTCATAGCATAACAACTAAAAATAAAACAGAAATCATAATTGTTCACACATAAAAATAAAACTAAAAAACAACAGAATAACACTCAACAATCGTTTTGACCACTAAAACACACAATATAAAAACTCATTTCTCCTACTCATCTCCCCCCTCTCTCTCATCCACATTTTCTTCATTGGTGGTGCTAGCATGATGGTGGTCGGATGTGGTGGGATGCATGTATCTTCCGCTGAAAGATCGCCACTCATCTCGCATCTCATTCACGGTCACCTGCATTGTACTCATCTGGGCGGTCATTTGAAATTGAAATCTCCAAAATTTGGTACTCCTACATTGCTCATGCGCTCCGGTTTGAAAATATCATCCAAATTGGACAACTACACACAAATAATGAATATTTTAAGTTTCTAGCATAATACGTGACGCTTAACAGTCAGAAAATTATAGGAAACACTTACCAATTTCTTGCATAGTGCTGATTTACGCCTACGATTAGCCTCACTAGTTGAAGGTAGACTGTCAAGCAATGCAGTTTTTTGCTGGACATTGACGAGATACAGAAACCAATGACGTGCTTCATCGTCAAGAACTGGCATAAATATCTAGCAACGAAACACTCACTATATGTTATAAACAGCGAATACAAACAAATGCACTTTCGAAATTTAATGATAGAGGGACATTGACTAGACTAACCTTCTGGCATGCACTGACATTCGGCATAAAGACCACGCCATCATTCATCAACTTGTTACGAATTTGTCTGGTCTTCATGTTAGCGCGTACCATTTTCTGCAGCATGTTTTAGTTGAGATGAATTGACATGGTACAATATAAATAACTAGGTTATGACAAATAATTTGACATTACGGCTCTTACCGAAAACATATTTGGCAAATACCACACATTTGGCTCTTTCACATCATGTTTTTCAGACATTGTTAGTGCCCTTGCACACAAATCCACTACCTACCATCCAACAATCAAACACAAAATCATCATAAATCGTAACATAAATAGTGCACAATTCATACAAAAGTCGTAGTAGTATAGTACTTACTGATGAGCAAACCCAGCTATTCTCGCTAATGACCGAACTCAAATAATGTCGTTGCACGTTTTCAGAAAAAAAAGTCCACAACGGTCAAACTGCAAAAATCAAAATAACAGAAATGTCAATTGTGATTTGCAACGTACAGGTCGACCTGTTCACAGTCACGGTCGACCTTATTGGAAAAGAGGTCGACCTCATAACCGATCATGTCAACCACACGTACTAAAAAACGTCTTACTTGTCCCAATTCTTGTCCCTAGCCTTCTCTTTAGTAACAACATAATACAAGTCTTCAACTGGATTTTGAAGATTTTTGGTGAATCCTTCTAGACCCTCCACTTTCATGACCTACAAATTATAGTTAAAATTAAAGTAACATATGAACACAAACACACATTATAGATGAATATGTAACGTAAACTTACCTCGTGCTTTTCGAAAGGACTCTTAGATTCTTCTTCATCGCTATCATCACTAAATAATCCTTTTCTTACAAATTGATCCTTCTGTGGAGTGGTGTAGGAGTCACTTTCATATCGATGTCTCTTGTACTTAGGAGAGGAACCCTTGCTGCCATTCGTTGTTTCACTCTGTCAAACATATAAACAAAACAAATTAGCACTAATGATAGTAATACTAATATCTTCAATCACATATGAATATACTTGGATACCTTTAAAATGTGCTCTTTCAATAAATCGTCTATGCTCTGGTAGCAATTTTCAGAGTCATCATGGTCTTCTTCCTCTTTACCAAAGTCAAATTTCTTTCCTTTACCATTTCTTCAGCCATTCTCCATTCGTTATGCACTTATATCTTTGATAGCACCTTCTAGCCTCTCAAACCCGTCATGCATCATCCCAGTCATATCTGTCAGTCGAACTGACAATTGCTCCACTCTATCACACATGGACTTCTGAAAGTCATTGACTTGTGTTTGACACACCACCAGCTTCTCTTATGTGGCTTTCAACAATTTCATGATTTCACCCGAATCTTGATGCAGTTTATCATCATGCGTCATTGTCTAAACAATTTCAAGAAAAATTTAAATCATAATTCAACTTCAAATTTCTACAATTGACCAAAAAACAAATATGTGGTCGACCTGACATAGTATTAGGTCGACCTGGAAGACAAATAGTGACTACCACAACCATTAAGGTCGACCTCTATTATTCCTAGGTCGACCTATCCAGCAGGAAAATAATAATTAACAAGAAAAAGTAAGTTCTAAATTAAACCGAAAAAAGGATAGGTCGACCAGATATCTGGCGCGGTTGACCTTTTTAAGCACAACATAGTCATACAATCAAAGCCAAAGTCGACATTCAGGTTGAATAACCAAAAAAACAGGAACGGTCGACCTTGAAACCCATTAGGTCGACCAATTGGGTTACCTCGCAAGTACAGAAATCCAAGTGTTGTGGCCTAAATTCAAATACGCAGAATTGTCTCGTCAGGTCGACCTGGTTGACGCACGGTCGACCGAATGGAATTCTGCACCCAACAATATATCAAATTAGCCGGTAGAAATCACGCACTAGAAAAGAAGACGACGAATGGTACATTAGGTCGACCTCACCTTAGACCTGGTCGACCACTTCCAACGCGTACAACAGCAACCGCGAACGATCTTCTTCACAAAGGCTCTTAATCGGAAAAAAACCTAATTCAGACTTGGAGGCGTTGAAGAGGACTAATATTCGTATTTATAGAGATTTAAGACGTCAATGGGTCGACCCAATTCGTTTCCTTGTCCAATTGTGGAACCTTTCTGGTGTTGGAATCCATATCCAATACGGATACGGTGTGAAGGCGGTCGACCTGTTAGGTGCACAAGGGTCGGCCTATGAGATATTTGGGTCGACCTTTCATTCTGTTAGACCACCAAAGCGGTCGACCGTATTATGTAAGAGGTCGACCGCGTCTTGGAACCCCACATACATGAATTAGTCCATTCGGTCGACCGCATGTTGGATTAGGTCGACCGAAAAGTCCATGTCACGGTGACATGCATGTCACCGTAGCAAAATCCTATCATTTTATGTTTCTGGTATTGGTTTGGAGATACTGGTGTTATTTTTAATTTGTTTTACTCGTTATAAAGGTGTTGATATTAGTTTGTTTTTGTAGTGGTACTAATTTTTTGTGTAGTGGTTGTTGGTTTTATGCTTCTGATATTGCTTTTGAAATACTTGTAATGTTTTTGTATTACTCGTTGTATAGGCACTGCTATTGGTTTTGTTTTTTCCAGGGGTATTGTTTTTTTTTTTTTGTATAGTGATACCGATTTTCGTACAATGGTATTGTTTTCGTGTAGTGGTACGAGTTTTTATATAATGGTACTGATTATCGTGTAGTTGTACTAGTTTTCTTAAGTGGCTAGAGGAAGTCTGTCGGAAGGAGTCTGTCAGAGAAAGGCAGAGAGGCACAAGTTTTTTTCTCTGTTAACTTTGACATGTAGTAGTCAACTGTCAACTCCTTTAGAGTTGATGTACCATCTGATTTGGATTTATTTAGTATTTAAAAATTATTGAAACAAAGCAATCTCTTATAAAAAAATTTAACTAAAATAGAAACAAAGATACAAAAGAAAACTTGTATTAATATGTTTTCTTATCAACGAATTACTTGAATATTAATTTTTACAAATATTTATTCTCATGTTTATATAAAGGGCACATATGTTTCAATCTTCTAATTCCACCAGTGAAATTATTTACTCAAAAGCTCGGAGCATGGAGGTCTACTATTGATTAATCGTTGTTCAGTACTCACTCTACTACACGAATCATGTGTCGAGTCTAGGAGTCTTTTCACGGTTTGATAGTTATTGGTTAATGCCATTTTGAACTCGTAGTCATCTCCACGAGTCTATTGATTTGTCTTCTCAGCTCATAGTAGTACTTGTTTTGTGAATAGTAAACTTTGTTAGCCGGGTATAGTACGTTCCTCTAGTTATTTCTCGAATATAAACACTTATGAGAATTTACATTGAACAAGTCCAAATCTTAACTCGATTAATTTTTTTAATTACGAACAAAAAACACATTAGGAAGTAACAAAATGACATTCTCTTTTGATGAAAGAAAACAAAATGTCGTTTTCTTTCTACAATGGTGTTTTGGAATTGGGAATAATAACCTTTCTTTGTGTTGGGACTCATACAAAGGCATCCCATCAGCAACCCTTCTGCGACCGCCACGTGCAAAGCTGAAAAGCCTTCTTCTTCTTCTTCTTCTACCTTCCTCCTTGCCCTTTGCCGTAAATACCCCTCATCCCCAATTTCATCTTCATCCCCTGATTTGAGATTTTCAATCGCTCTCACTCCCTCATCTCCACTTGCAGTTCAATTGAAACCGCCACTTTTCCATCCGCCGGAAAGCAATCCGATTCCGAATTCCCCCCGCCCTGACCTTATGGCTGATTCACTCTCCGGCGGTCAGATCTCTCCTCCCTGAAACCGTAAAAGCTCAACCCCCCTCCTCTTCTTCCCCCCTTTTATATCTCATAAGAACAAGACCCATCTACTTTAAGCACCCAAAAATGGCGACGCTGCAGAGATTCAAGCATTTCGCCACGCAGTGCGGAGCGTCGTCGACGGGGAACCCGACGCAGAGCCCCACCACCAGCCCGGTCGTCCACCTCCGCCGCCGCAAGACCCTCCGCATGCTCCTCTCCCGCGGCAGCCCGGCCGCCGTCGACCACCATCGCCGGGCTATGGCGATGTTCGAAGGGGTCCAGCAGCGGGATCTGGCGCCGTCCGATTCCAAGAGGGCCAGAAGGAAATTGAAGGATTTGTTCGTCTCTTCCCCGCCGTTGGAAGATAATAATACTACCAAGAATCGGGGATGCGATGAGGTCCGGCTGTTGAGCGTCGGCCCCGGTGGAAGTGACGGGGGTATTGGGAATAATGGTAATTGTAGCTTCAACCGCGGCGGAGGTGGAGGGTTCTCCGGTCGTCGGAGAGGGCTCAGACAGGGTGTGGCGACGTTTCGGTATAGGTTACTGAGGAGAGCTTGGCGGCCTGTACTGGTCACCATTCCTGAGTAGTTTTTTTTTTTTTTTTTTTTGTGTTTTGGTTGGAATCTGTACGGATAATGAAATGAAAAGGTTTCATTTTTCTGAAAATTTTGTTCCCCCAAATTACCCTTTTATCTGTCAGTTTACCTAGTCCCTCATTTTCACAGGTTGAGATTATATTTTATTAACCCAAATTTGGACGGAGAATTCAAATTGTTTTGAGATTTTGAGGATGAAAAATAACGACGTGCAAAATTGGATTAAGAGCATCCTTGACAGTTTGGTTTGATTTAACATGATATCTAACCTGAAATGTAACAGGTATTGTACAAAATTGAACTTGTTGAACCGTTAGTAAGTGACTAAACTCATTCAACAAACATTTGTAGATTCGAATTAATCCCTTTCATAAAAATTTTGTTGAAATTCATTTAACAAGAATTTCGAATTCAAATTCATCACTTATACGAGTTTGCTCCAAATCACACTATAATCCATATGAACTTTCTCATATCGGCACGAAAATAATCAGTTGAGTGAAAGATAACTACCTACCTAACTTTGGAGTGTTTGTCTCTTTAAAAAGTATTGGAAATTTGGAATCCATATCGAGGTTGATGCATTTCAAAACTGGGGATTTTGGTCACGGCACCGGAGACTAGAGCTGCAACTGTTCCCGTAAAGTAACGGTCAGTATTTCGGCCCCCGCAACAATGGGGCGTAAAAATCGGGCCTGCTGTCCCGTAGGCGCATTTTAGGAGATGCGCTAAGGTGTAATATATTATTTTTTTTAGGTAGGAAGTAATATATTATTTGCAATTGCAACAACAATAGTGTACCGTTTTTTTTTATAATGATTAAAGGGGTTGTGGGAAGAATGCATTCGGTAGATCAGGCGAGTAATCACTATGCATAATTATTTTGTTTATTAAAATATCCAACATTATATTTTTTTTATGGATAAATGCCACGTTTGATTACCGAGATTAGTAAATCGTATTATGTATAGTCACTAGAAAAAATTAATATCAATTTTGGTCACTTGAATTACTAAAACAGGTCACCTTTAGTCACTCCCCTGTTAGCCTCCGTCCAACTTTGGTCACTCGAATTACTTTTTTTTTTTATGAATGTCACTCGAATTACTGATATGTGACATGTTTTAGTAATTCGAGTGACCAAAATTGATATTAATTTTTTTCTACTGACTATACACGACATATGGCGCACCAGAGGGCATATGTTACGATCTTACCAGGGACAAACACTCCCTGGTAAACCAAGTTATGATATTATAGAATTTATTGATTTCTTGGTCAAAATCTGGTCTAGATTGTGATTTACCGGACCAAATTGATTACTATAATATAGATCAAGGACCATACCATTCTTAACATTTTAAGGTCCAAACCAAACAGAGCGGTCAGGTTTGATCCACGGTTTTTAAAACGGTCTGGTATATTTTTCCACTCCTAGAATCTACAAGTTATAAGGTTGCTTTTAAATTTTTACAGAAAATCTTGTTTTACAAAATGACATCTACATTGATATAATGTAACATCCCGAAGCTTTTCCAGTCAAAATATTGTCTGTTTTGAGTCTAGATCCTCACGGCGTTTGTTTTGGGGTGCATATCAAGGTGACTTATGAACCGTCCTTGTAGTGCTACACAGTAAGTATGTGTGTTCTCAGTTAAGGTGGTTTCTGACTTATGAACCATGGTTCTCTCCCGTGCTTTGTTGATGTGAATTTCTCCTAAGATGTTACAAACACCCCCTTTGGAACCCAACGTCCTCGTTAGCTTTGCCCCATCATCGTTCAAGAGGTACACGAAGAAGCTCTGATACCGCTTGTAACATCCCGTCATCTCGAAACCTTTTCTCGACAAGATATTGTCCGCTTTGAGTCTAGACCCTCAAGAATTTCGTCTTGTGATGCATATCAAGGCGACTTCCCATAAAATCACACATCTTTGCAGTGCTCCATAATGAGCACGTTTAACTTAGGAGTTCTTACAAGAACTCCTCCATTTCACCCTAAAATGCATTTGTCATTTAAGTTCAGTTTCTTACTTATGAACCATGAATCTCTCCCATTCTTTGTCGATGTGGGATCCACCTAAAGTGTTATATATATTTTTTAACAATAAATGTTAAGTGGGTTTGAAAAAAAACCCGGGGTAAAACTCATTGGGTTTGAAAAACTCAAACCCAACCCAACCCGTTGGGTATCCACGGGTTCATGGGTACCCATGAGTTTTTGTTGTAAAAAAATTACAATAAAAAGTTTCTATCAAAATAAAAGTCAAATATCAATTTCTCAATATAAATTATCCATATATAAAACACCATTCTAGAATATTCAAGTAAATCACAAATTAAACATATAAATAGTTCAACGCCAGTCTAGAAAACTCAAAAAAATTGAAGCAAATCACAAATTATCCATAAACAACATGATGAATTGAAAGCTTCTTCACTCTCCACTCGATAATATCAACTTCATTCTACACAACTAGAAAGAAAAAATCAGACATGTCTCCACAAACATAAAGAAGATTAGTTGTTTAGAATATTAAATATACCGGAAAAATTAATTATATGTGGGTGCGGGTGGGTACCCATGGGGCGGATTTAGCTAAACACAAACCCAACCCGGTGAATAGTGAATGGGTTTAAACCCGAACCCGGTCCAAAACCCGTCAACACGGGTTTTACCCGCGTTGACAGGGTTGGGTCAGGTAGGGTACCCGTGGGTTCGTGTTTTGTTGCCATCCCTACATGTGAGTGGTTAATCTGCGACTTGATATCGATCCACTCGTAAATAATCCGAACTGCAATGGGTAAGTGATTGATGTGAGTGGATTACAGATTGATAAATCTCCTACCCGCTCTTAATCGGTCGCACCATATTTTCACATGACAAAATATTGTTTAATATTTATAACTATCGAATAGTCATAATATTTTCTAACCACACTACATAGTGCCATCGACTTCCAAAGGTGGAGAATAAATAATAGTTCTCGACTACTATTATTGGTTACTATGTTGTGTAATGTCCATTAGATATTGGGATGCAAATTATAAAATGTTAATTATATCAAATTAAAGTTACAAAGTGAGTCAGTTTACTCTACTCAATTGGTTGATAGAGTAATGAAAAATATCATGCAAATACTACACAGATCCACATTAGAAAAAAGTGGAAAGTGTTTAAATTGATAGTATTAATAATTTGTGAAAAACTTAATATAAATGTTAATCAACTTTTTTAATGGCTAGATGAAGAATTATTTTTGCGAGTTGATCTGCAACCCAACCGCACCCATCCGTGATCCGCCACCCACCTAACCAACCCAATTCAAAAAAGAATGTAAGTGAATGACGGATCAAAACTATACCAACCCGTTAGTAAACAGGTGAGTCAAATTGAGACAAAAACTCACCCAACCCGATTATTACCCACCCCTACACACTAATTTGGGCATGCATAGAGACTAGAGTAAGTAGTTAGGGTCGGTTGGGTGGGTGGGTGGAGTGTTTATGTTGTTGGTACTCCGTACTCATAGACCAGAGGAGAGGAGTCACCCCATTCGTTGATTTTAATGGGCCGGCGTGGAAATGATGACAATAATTAACCATAGATCTGATTATCATGCTCTTTGAAATTGGTTTCCAGTTTATGGTTCACTCATCATTGCTTCACCATTTCCAGTAGCTAATGCTACCATTTGCCCCACTACCATCGATATTCCTCATCACCTTTTCTATTAAGTGGTTCGTGTTTCTTCTTTTAAATTTTTACAATCGTTACATTACTTGCATTGTCCAGGCTCCAAAATATTTTTCTATTTTTATATAACAAACAACCAATCAAATTGAAGGATTGTTAAATCTTCGCTTTTAGATTAGATTGTTAAAATAGTTTAGTTGGAATTGCTGTACCTTTTTCTTTAGAGTTAGATATACATACACCAATTTTGTTTTGCTTTTGGGTGCGGGTAGATCATGTTGTGAATTGTGATGCTATTGGTATTGACTTTGGAGAGAAGCCCTTCCATTTTGATCTCTACTAAAATAATTTGTATTCTCTTCAAGCTAAATCTTTCAAAAAGTAATCAATGGTAGAAGTCGAATAACTTTTTTGAAACGACAATCCCTAATTAATCGTTTGTAGTATGTGATACAAATTTACCTAGTATGGAGACCATGGTCGTATTGTCTAAGATCTCTCACAACCACTTACTTCGATGGTGAAGGTAGAGTTCTATGTGGTTTGAAAAGTGAGTGTGGAGGTTGAGGTGTCTATGAGGGTGGAATTTACCCTTGGTTTTAGAAAAAGAAAGTAAAAGACAGTTCAGGGAACAAAATCTACTCTACTGGCAGGTGAAGTAAGTGAGAGGTGAGGCGTTGCATATGCAAGCTCGACCTTGAGTTCTTTTGACTCCCAACCTTGATCCTGACAGCATCTGAGCTGCTTGATCCTTGCTAGGTTTATTCCTGCCATATGACATGAGTTTACCAGGACTAATAGACAACGATGTGGACCCTACGGATGTTTCCTTTGAGGAAGTCTATGTAGTTTGATCGATTGAGGGACTGTCATGTCCAGTCTCATCCACCCACGAAGTTGGGTTTGAGGATGTATACTTTGAAGATAGTCCTCATCTTACCTATGCAATTGAATCAACAATAGATCAAACATAAAAGATAGATGAAATCAAACTCATATATACCAAAATCCAGAGTTACATTGTCAAAGAAACTCTAGGATTTGCCCACCTACGCAACTAAGGAACTAGCCGCTCATGGGCACAGGATTCAAGGGGAACATTATTCAAAACGAGATCCCTATATCACCGTCTAAATCGCGCTAGATCCAAGAATCGGCGGTTAGACCACAATTTCTGACACTGATTCGCCCTATGGGTTTGGCTTTGCTCTATGAGGTTTCTGGTAAGCTTTATGAGATTTTTGGTATGCTTCATGGAACTTCTTATGATGAGTTTAATGAGATTTATGGTTTGCTTCAAGAAACTAGTTAGCATTGTGGTATGCTTTTTATATTTTCTGGTATGCCTAGTGGAACTTGTGGTCAGCTTATCAAATTTCTCGTGTGCTTAAGGAAACTTGTAGTGAACTTTGTGGTGTACTCTCTACAATTTTTGGTATTCTTTATGAGGTTTCTTGTCTACTTTCTGAGTTTTGTTGTGTGATTTCTCGTGTTTCTGATGTAGTCTACGTTTTCTAGTCTGCTTTAAGAGAGTTATGGCCAGTTTTATGAGTTTTCTTGTCTAGTTGGAGAAACTTGTGGTCCGCTTTGGTTTTTCTAGTATGCTTTATGAGCTTTCTGGTTTATTTTATGTTTTTAAGGTGTCATTTTTCGTGTTTC